AGTGTTTATTGGTGACTGTTCATGGATTGGTGTTTGTTACATTGTAATTTCAGTTAACCAACATGTTAGTCTGGACAATGTTTTATTTTTTCTTGATTTACAAAGGTGATTCTACTAATCCAGTCTCTCTCAAGGGGTCTGCTACTCAGTAAGTGATGAAAATGTTTAGTTCTACTATCCATTACGATGCACATGAGTTCTTGATGGCAGAGGCTAAAAGTCATGCTTGAAGACTATCCAGTGATCAACTAATGAAATTTCTTCTTTTAAGTGGAGATAACTCTACCATCAGTTGAGATAACTATACTAATACTGGACAAGTCAGAAACCAACATGAAACCTGACTTGATAAGTTTTATTATGCTATCGTTTACCATGTCAGACACTGAATATACTTAGAAGCTGCAAATATACTTTGAACAAAAGAACATCAACATGTACACACAAGGAAATAAAATGAACTGTCTTGTACTGTATAGCAATATTTGAAACTCTCATTACAGATATCTATAATCAGAGATTCAAATCTGTTAGCTTCATCAACAGCCTTATGGGTAAAGCTCAGTGAAGCATCATGCTTCACTTTCATAGAGATAGTAAGAACTGCCGATACTGGAGTCAGAGATAACAGCGTGGAGCTGGAGGAACACAACAGGCCAGGCGGCACCAGAGGAGCAGGAAGATTGACGTTTCGGATCGGGACCCTTCGTCCTGATACGTCAACTTTCCTGCTCCTCTGCTGCCTGGCCTGCTGTGTTCCTCCATCTCCACACTATCCTTTACTTCAAAGTTCCCTGTTCAGTTGGCATGACTGTAATCAGCATCTTTTCAGCAAACTTCTGCATTTATTCAGTACTATCTTTAGTTAAATCTTCCTTCCTAATAATCTTGAACAAGCTGCTACCTTTACTCACTTACTCCTTGACACGTGTTCCTTGAAACTCCTACTTTGTCAGATGTCTTCCTATCTTGACACCTTAAAAATTCTGAAGTCTTTCTCCTTCTAGATTCTAAGCCACTTGGGAGTACGTCTATCCTGTCTGTTTTGGAGACTGCTAAGTAGCACTGCTGCTATTCCAGGCCTTTTGTTTCTGAATGATCTCTCTGAAAGAAACCTACATTCTGCCTTTCTAAATTAACTTGTTTCGGTCTATCTCCCTGTGCCATAGGACACTTTGTCAGGCAATGCCCAATCTGTTTTTTCCTCTGTGTTCAATGCTCATTTCTAATACTCTGAAGGATTTACCTCAGTGTTTTTAAAAACCTTGTTTAAAATACTTGTAAAAAAATCTCCAGACAACCCAGTATCACATTCTGAATTTAAAAACAGAAACTAAAAATTGTCCTCCTCTTAATACACACACAGTATATAAAAATAGAAATCAAATTTAAAGCTGTTCATTATTTCTCAAATTTATAACCCAAGTTCCCAAATGGTGGAAATATTATGAATGTTTCTCACTGTATTATCTTGGGTTTAAATACATCAGCTGGGCAAAATAAATGTTAAGTTCTGTATTTTAAGGTTTTCAGTAACATGTTGTTTGGATCATATCCTATTAGTATTCTCCTGAATAGAAATTACAGCTCACTTAGGACAAATTTTATGTTGAATAATGTGCCATTACATTTCTGTTATCAACTTTATTCATCTTATATGAATTGTAGCTGAGTGCTGCAGGTTATTTGCAGAGTTCTATGAATGTGATGTAGCAGCATGTATTTTTTTGGATTTTTTTTTCTTTATACATAAAAATGTAATATACTTGTAATTTTTGTTTTTGTATAGACTCACAAGGCCATGTCAATAGGACGTCAGGGCCGGGTTCAAGTAGAAGATATAGTCTTTCTTATTCGTAAAGATCCTCGGAAATTTGCAAGAGTGAAAGACCTGTTGACAATGAATGAAGAATTAAAACGTGCCAGAAAGGCTTTTGACGAAGCTAATTATGGCTCGTAGATCTCTGAAGGAAGCATATCATGGAATAATTATTGTATTGCTACTCTCTGAAATGTGTGATAACACATTGTAATAGGAGTCTATTACAGACTTCATAAAATGGACTGTTGCAATATAGTCTGCCTCTGACTCAGCCAGGCAGGGTCTGAGAAACCTGATGATTCACTTACACTTTTGCTTCATCAGTATTAGCAATGTTTTTGGTTAAACAATGAAATGGGACTTTTTGTATGGTTAAAAATTTAAAGGTTTTTGTACATATCAGAATTAGTGTATGCCAATGATTTATTTAACTTGGCCAGTTCTGCAATAAATATTATGAAAAATAATGACTATTCAAAAGACTTAATTCAAGTGCCTTAGTTAATGATTCTGTAGCATATCTTTTGGAATTTTCACTCAGTAGAAGTCCAACCTGATGCCACATATTTTTCATGCTTTCTTATGTTGTTTTATAAATTCTTATACTGAAATTTTAACATTATTTAGTGATGTGCACTTGTCATTCCTTTCCTGGTCTAGCCTACATGTGACTCCAACCCACATCAATTATTTGGGGACTGAAATGGCTTAACAAAACACTCAGTTCAAGGGCTATCATTGATATACAACAATGCCCACATCCCATGCTAGAATAAAGAAAAAATATCTGTAAGAACTTACCATGAGATTCCCATAAAATGCTCAAGAAATGCTGTTATTTTTTAAATGTAATTCATGTTGTTTCTTTGCAAGTGAATGTTTCTAATATCAAAAATAAAATTTAATCTTTTAAAATTAAGCATGTAATTTTTCACATCATTATTTTAAGTTAATTTATTTAATTGTCTTGAGGTGTTTAATGCCTTTATTGAAATTTTCACTTAAGGGCCTTGGCCTTACTAGAGGACGAATTATAGTCTTCAGATGAAATAGGTTTGCTTTAAGGGTGAGGTATAATTGGATCAGAAGATACAGATCTATTTCTGTCATTTTAAAATAATAGATTCTGGCTTTTTATATTCCTATCATACCTCTGAGGTATATGGTCTAATTTGTCACACTATTAAACCCACCCCCTGCCACCCACAACCCCGCCAAAGTGATATTTCAATGGGGGAGAAGTGTAATGACAGTTTAGCACACTTACAATCTATTTCTGCTATATATGCAAGGTAAAATGTGTAGTTGACAAGTTGTACTTGTATAATGCCATTAACATGATGAAACATCCTAAGGTGTTTCACAGGGTCGTAGTATAAAATTTTCACATAGATGGTAATTAGTTTGTGTTTTTAATAGCTATTTACACTTGTTTGTTTCAAGCTTTTTTAAATGTTTTTAGTCTGTTCATATTTGGGAATTTGAAGCTTTTAGAGACATAGTCAAACCAGTGAGCTTTCCATGTTAATGATGAATTAGCGAGAATATTGTGTACATTATTGCTTAGTGCAGTAGTTGCAATTGTTATTCCCAATTATTGTAAAATCCAGAAGTGTCACCTTTTATTATTTATTATTTTTAACAAATTTGTGTTGCAGTTAAAGCTTCAGTGTTGTCAGTCTGGGTATTTTCTTCCAAATTTGAAGACTGCGTGAAGGTGTCTTGTCAGTCTATGCATCGAAAGAAATATTGCCTAATGCATGCGTGCATGTTTTCTATTTAATTAATCAGAGTAAAGAAACAGTCAAGCCTGAAATTATAATAATCATTCTGAACATAAGACTTGTCATACAGAAAAAATGCCAATGTAACAGCTAGTGCAAATTCATACAGCCTTGATAATTCCCAATGAAGCAACAGTTTGGTTTAATTAGTATGCTGGGTTCATTAATATTAATGGAGTCAACAATGCATTTACGTTACAGTATTTATAATGTTTTAAAAAATTCCAAGGTACTTTTATAGGAAAATTATTAATTGAGATATGACACTGAGCCTCAGTTTGCTTAAAGGAATGTCTTAAAAGAGGAAAGTGGTTAATGGAGGGAATTCTGGAACTCCAGACTTTTTAACTGAACGTATAGTTGACATTGGAGCAATTGAAATTGGGGATGTTTTATGAAGTCAGAATTTGAGAAGGCAAATATCTCAGAGAATGTAAGGCTGGAGGAAATTAGATAAGGGCTAAAAAGATTTTGGGTGGGAGGGAGGACAAAAGAATGAGTTTTAAAGTCCTCAGCAACACTAAGAAGTTTGAGGAATGTTGATTGATTGGAGTTGAATTTGGGAGGGCAGAGTATATACGAAGAGGGGAGAAATGATTGATAGAGGTGTGACCACAGAAGAGAGGGGTCTAGGAGAGGTAAAAAGAAAATATGTAAGAAATGGAATATGTGGAAATAGATGTGATAGGACTTTGATCAGGAGCAGCAACCAAAACACATGTTTGAACAATCACAGGGCAAGCTCTATTACACAGGCTTCATTGCCAAGTAATTTTTAGGATGTGCACACACCCACATACAAATATATATCCTAGTCATAAACAGGGGTCAAATGAAGAAAATAGGGAGAGCATTCATAAGGCAATAAGAAATAGAAACAAGAGTAAGCTGTTCGGCCCCCTCAAGCCTGCTTCACCGTTCAATAGGATCATGGCTGATCTGACATCCCTTATTTTCACTTTCCTGATCTATCCTCATAACCCTTGATTTACCCTACTGACCAAGAAGCTAGCTCACCCTTAAATATTTATAAGGATTCTGCCCCCACAGCTGTCTGTTGCAAGGAGTTCCAAAGGGACTCAATCCTCAAAGAAGAAATTCCTCATTTTTTATTCTTACACTATGCCCTCTGATCCTAGATCCTCCCATGAAGGGAAACATCCTTCTCAGCATTTAGCTGTCGAGTCACTATGTTCTAATAAGGTCACCTCTCAGTTCAATTCAGAGGACTCTTGGTGGGATAAAATTGAGGAGTTTACCATTAGAATTACTTTAATACCAATACTATCTGAAGGTTGTTAATTGATTCAGGTTTAAACATTTGTCTTTATTATCACTTTTATTGCAATTAGGTTGATTTGTCACTTGATAAATAAAAATTATACATAAGCATATACATTTATCACGTGTTTATTAATTCATATGTCCATCTCATAATTAATCTGTTTCAATCCAGAAGTGATGAACTTGAAATCAGATAATTGCTCAATTCAGATTAGCTGTGAAGTTGAACGATATTAATGACTATGGTTTCCAACAGTTGCACAAAATTTCAAACCTTTACTAATTTAGATTTTCATCATTATCACGCCTGCTAAGAAGTTCCTGTATATTGTGACTCAAGTTGATGAAGGGAAAATAATGGACCTTGATATTATTCATTTAATAGTTCCTATGCTCCTAGTGACTTTATTTTAACAGTAAATGTACTACATTTAACTCAAAACAGTCAAACCTTGTTACAATATAACCTTTCGTTTCTACCCTTGTTTCCTACTAGTCAAAACAAATTTCTTTATGTATTTCAACCATGTTGCTCACAGAATCCTGCCAGAATTTTCATTGGAAAATATGACAATCTACCATCCATTTTCATTACTATACCACACTGTTAATGGTTTTTATTTATTTTGTCATGATGAAACATAAAACTTAATTAAATCGTAATTCAATTTGCCTTGCTCAGTCATATACTAATTACCATACAAATACTGTAACCCACTGTACTGCTACGGTTGATTTATCCCAACCTGGTGGAATAATGATGTCTGATTCTTTATTTGGAAAACCACAGTAGCCACATTGGAATACTATGTTGGAGTCTTTTAATATGAAAGTTTTTTTTTTCAATATTCATTGGAAGTTTAAATAGTATGTATTTTACGTTTCCTCGTGCTGGCCTCTTTTCACAGTGATGGTACTCAGAGTTCTGGTGTCTGAGTGGGAGCCAATGGTGCCTGCCCCTTACAAATGCCTCTCCAGGAACTGTTCACATCTGCAGAAATGAACACAATTGAAATGCATTTAATTAAACTAAGGCAAGTCTAAATTGATATATAGACCCGTGCAAGTTGCTGTGGAAAGATAATACTTTGTCTATTGCCCAGCTGTTAAGACTTCTGGGTAAAACTGATATTTCTGAAGAAAAGACTAATGCAATGAAGATATTCTGACAGAACCAAGCTGAGCAGCCTGAAATTTCTGATACTTTTTTATATTCTATTTCCTACATTAGTAATTTAGTTTTATCTTAAAAAGAATGCTGAAAAGGTCTTGTGGTGCAGTTAGTAATGGTCCATCATTGGAGCCAGCAGCTCCGGGTTCCAGTCCTTCTCCAGGTCTTGATGGCCTGGGAAAGTAGGTGTAGGTATCAATTTGTAAATCCTTCCAATATACACCAATGACAAGTGGTAAAAGCAGGCAAAATTTCTGGTCAGTCATATGATGGAAAGAAATCAGTCAGTAGCCCTTGCTCCAGGCTACAACAATATTGATGCTTGGGAGACCGGTTAGCTCGGTGGTCAGTGTAGATCAGATTGGTGTGTTAACAGCATTGGGTTTGATCCCCATTCAGATGAGGTGGATTCAGGACCAGCCTTCATACTCTACTTGTGGTAGAGGTCATGGCGATGAGGGTCAGACCTGCCTTCAGGCAGAAAACTCAAGGAGAAGGAATTATGACATCAAAAATAACCCTAACTGAATAATATTAACTGTGGTATTTCAAGAATGTAGCTCACCACCACTTTTTCTGGGTAGTTAAGGATGGGCAATAAGTCCTGGCCTAGCTAGTGATGGCCATGTCCTGTAAATGAATAAAAAGGTTATGTCTAATCATTTCCACTGCAAATGAAGGACAGGATGTAATGTTATAGGACTTGTAAGCTATATTACTTGTTGAAAGATGTGCAATTTTTAACTTGAGCATTTTGTTAAGTGTAAAAAGATTTACTTTCATTTAAGTATATGTTTTAAAAGTCCTTATTCAGGCATGAAAAATATCAAAGCTTATTTCTTCTAAATAAAACATCATTAGGCCTTTTTTAAGGAAAAATCTATTAATTCTGACGTGGCTCATTCACGCTTGATATTCACGTGGGTTTAGCAATGTGGCCTTGTTACATGGGTAATCAATACTTATTCTATATACAAACTATTTCTCAATGCTAATGTACATAGGCCACGTAAACAGTTCAGTTCAGTTCTTGTCACTACAAGAGTAACTTTATCAGATTACTATCAACCCTAAATTAATGATAAACACCAGTATTTATATTATAATCATTTCTTCCCATTTGACATTCTTCTTAATTAAGAGCTATTTTGTATCTGCATTTCCAAGAAAGCAACTAGTGGTCCAATTGTGATATACAGGAAGAACAAGAAAGACAAATGTGGAACATGAGAATAAAAGGACATTGGACATGAAGCAACATTTCCAGACACAGATGTAGTGAGGTATAACACAGGAATAATACACTTGTCTTTTCCTTAAAGCCATGAGTGACGTTCTGAGAAAATACACCTTCATATTAGAATGGCTGCTTGATCCTGTTATGTCACAAATTACATCCTTCCACTAACAATAATATTGCCTGTCATGTATGTTTCCACAATCACAAAGAACTGAGAGAAATAGCCATGTCACATATTTTAAACTTTTTAACTAACTTTGTTCTACATAAATGCAAATTCGTGAGGCAAATAATATGTAAACTTTAAGAGGTTTTTCAAGTTGTCATGTTTAGTGTAAGATCCTGTTTTAATTAATGAGTTTCTCCCCTTTCCAAATGGGAACATACATTTCTTCAAATGGGTTATGAGCTCACTAGATAGAAATCCACATTCTTGAACAACACATCATTAAAATGTGATGATTTAGTATGATGTGAGGTAATACCAAAAGTATACCTGGAATTTGTGTTATTCAAGCAGTGAGAAATGTTGTGTTTAACTGGGAAAAATGTACAATATCACATCAGATCAATCAAGGCTTACCATGATTATTATCTGTACATACCTATCTGACTATGCACAATTCCACATCTAAGTAGAATTTACCTTATCAATTTCTGGACCAAACCCAGAATGCCCTCTGGTGTGTAATGGACTAAATTATGATAAACAGTTGGAAGATCAGAGTTGAATCCACTTCTGTTTATTATCAATTTAGCATTGTACATCTGAATTCTGTGACTGACATTATATCATGTCCTCTCTTTTCATGTTTTTTTAAACTTCTTTCCACTTTTCAAACAGGCCAGTTTTGAATGGGAACTTAAAATCAGAGCCACAACTTCTCCCAGTTTCATGCTGCAATAATCAGACTATATGAACTTTGTACTTCTTGCAGAATATGATGCTGTGTCATTTTTATTCCTTCTCTCCTGAGGTCAAAGATTTAGCTTAGTGATCAAGTAGAGAACATCTGAAACCAATTCAAGCTACACCACCCCAACTCCCCATCTACACTCACCTTTACTGGCTCCATCCCCGCCTCTTTGACCTGTCTCCTCTCCACCTATCTGCTCCTTTATCCATCTTCCATCCGCCTCCCCCTCTCTCTCTATTTATTTCAGAATCCCCTTCCCCTCCCCCATTTCTGAAGAAGGGTCCAGACCCGAAACGTCAGCTTTCCTGCTCCTCTGACGCTGCCTGGCCTGCTGTGTTCATCCAGCTCTGCACCTTGTTATCTCAGCATCTGGAATAGACAACTTTTCCTCTTGAACTCTCTTTCTCTTCTTGTTCTTTCTCCACAACAGATTAAAAAGTCTGTGTTGTAAATGTCAATTGTTGGTGATTTTTATTAAGTTTCAAATGCAATCTTGTTTACAAATATCACAAGTGTGGTATTTTATATATTTTCTGATCGACATGTTCAGAGATGTTACAACACAGCTCTGGAGCAGATGGGTCTTGAACCTGGGCCTCCTGGTTCAGGGGTAGGGATACTACCACTACACCAGAAAAGCACACATGGTAATGTATCAAAATAACCTCTATCAATTGCACCTATTCCTAATTATAATTAATTCACTGAAAGGTATTATAAGATTCATGAAGTATTATTTGAATCATAAGATTGTCCTACAAAATCTCACTTCTATCCCTACATCTAAATCTTGGGCAAATTCGGTTGCTGCCTACATTGAAGAATAATCCATAATTATCTGGAATTGGTGCTTTTTGCCATAAAGGTGCTGAAAGAATTGTCCATAATTCAAGGTGCTGAAATGGCAAATAAAGAACAGAGGTCAGCCATAGAAGTGCAGCAAATTTTACAGTAAGTACAACAGGAACAACAGAAGTTTTGGGGGAACTGGATAGTACATGAAGGCAAACTTTATGTATCAGGATAAACACAATCAAGACAAGACAAATGAAATCCAATCCATCATGGAAATAAGTCCACAGCAAGACACTGCTATCAAATACAACACTAATTTTTGCATTCACCTGCTAGTCATATTTGGTTAATGTGCCAGTATAGAAGTACAGAAAATGAAAAAGTCACCTTGGTGCAGTAAGGAGTGTTCACTTGCATTTACCTATAACTAGATTAATCACAGTTGCACATGTGCAATTTACATTGCGACTAATCCATGTTGTATTAATCTGTACCTTAATGAGGTTTAGAAATAATATAAATTCACAGCACTCTCGTCTCTGACTTAAAGGAAATTTTGCCTCGTCCCATTTCTTGGAAACATCACATATGTGCGATCATTGGTATATGCAGCATTTAAGGCACAATCATACACTAAAAATGGATCTATAAAAACATATAGAAACCATAATAAGCTTCCCCTTCTGGACCCAATATACAGATCCTTCAGAGAAGCAATATGAAACTCTGTAACCTCTACTGGTGGCAATACAAAGTGTGCAATGTGAAGTATATTTGGCTCATTAAGTCGTTCCCACAATGTAAACATAATAGTTTATACGACAGTTTCCATATCCGTTTCTTGTCTAAGTATCTCAGTGAAATAATTTATGGATAAAACTTCCAAGAAAGAAAGATGAAATTACTTGCATTTATAAAGCACAAGTCCTCAGTATTCTCATGACTGACTGAATTGTTTTGAATGTTATGTTGGCAACAGTGTGAACTTCTTGCAGATAATTTTGCCACATCCTGATTATCTAGAATTGTCAAGAAATTGAGACTCGTACCCACAACTTTCTGACCACTAAATCTTGCTCCCATCCCTGACTAGAAATTGGTTATTTCTAGAGTGACAGATTTAGAGCATTATTTCATCCAAAATTTTCAGATTTTTCTATTACATTAAAATGAACAGCAATAAACCACTTTAAACATTTTTAAACATTTGCAACCAACTGATGTTTTTCATGTGCTAAGATTCAGCATATTAAAATTGCCTAACTCAATTATGGAGCCCTCCACAAAGCACTGCAGTAATCCATTACCCTTGGGCAATGAATGTGATTCTTTCCATGTTGCTCACATATTCAAGAACAAATTTTAAAATTTACTTTGGCTTATCAGCAAACCAACAGATCCAGCACCTTTAGTGCCCCTCACTTAAAACAGTACTGCTCTCAATTTATATTCTCCTCCCATCAAACATAGTGCTCTTGCCTTCCTCATTCTTCCCTCCTACCAGCTCAAGACCAAACTGCTCTCCTCTTCCCCAACAGCAGCTGCTTCTCCGATTCATAGTTTGTACAATGTAGGCAAAATTGAATGCCCATGTGTGCATGGGTGCAAAATACAGGAGGAGTGGCAGCAGGTGATAACCTGGGATGGCACTTGGGCAAGATCCTTATTCCGCCGAACATACTTAATTTTGGTGAACTACCATCTAAACAATGGTCCCAGAACCTTGCCGCCTCAAACAAAGACAAACAGCATGAATATCAAACATGTCGAGAATCAAACCAAGTCAGTGTAGAACACTGAGGGTGGCCAATTATCCATTTTATCTGTTCCAGCACTGTTAATATAACAAAACGTCTTGCATGCATATTTTGGGGTTGAATTCCTTATCAGGTTATGTGCAAATCATCATAATTGTCCCATTTGTCACAATTTCCAAAGGATTCATGCTCATAAATGGCTGGCTTGATGCCGTGTCAACTGGGGTACTACGTAACATGATAAATTTCATACAGCAGATGACTGTGAGTCTGGAGGCCCATTTAACAGAAAAAGTATGCCTGTTCCCAAGCCTCACTGATGCAGAAGTATTCCACCCATCCCCAGTTAAGGCACAAACCTCATTCTGACCCCCAAAGCAGCCAATACTGAAACATTCTTCAGTCTGTAAAATGTAAAAGCAACAAGAGCTGTCAGTCTTATTGTGCCAAACATTTGTCTGAGGAGTAAGCTCGAGGGAAATTTGGTCCTCAAGTGTTTTCTTCTTTTAACCTGTTAGTGAGACACAGTGTTGTCACAGACATTTCTCATTTTAATGAGAACATAAAGTGTAGACAGTTCTGAAGAAGTCATATTGGACTCAAAATGTTAACTCTGTTTTTCTCTCCACAGATACTACCAGACCTGTTAACCTTTTCTAGTACTTTGTTTTTATTTGAGAACGTTTGGGCTTTGTTAATTCTAAAGGGATGTTTTAAAAAAAGAAGCAACAGCGGTGACCTATGGTTTAAGGAGAAGGACATAGAAACCTTACAGCATCACTGACAATAGGGTTGAAATATTTTCTCAGATACTATTGTTGAAAGCACTAGCTGCAGAAAAATCTTTACTCATAGTGAAAAGTTGTGATCTCACCAGGAACTGAGGGTAGAAAATTATACTAAGAGCTATTGTTATACAGTACAGCAACTATTATAGCATGAGTAATTCACTCCTAGCCATCCTTACATTGACTAACTATATGTCATTGTTCCTTCAATAGTAGTCTATCTTTCCTGACATTTCCCTGTCATTACTTTCTTCAGTGTAATCTTCTGTCATTTATAACACAGTCACATCTGCATAATAAGTTTTGGAATGTGTGCAAGAGTGACATTTGGCATTTCATACAAACCCTTTTGTTGCTTACAGGAAGGAATCATGAGTCTTTTCACGGAACTTGTGAATGTAGTGCTCCTATGATGGTATTTGGTTTAGTATCTGCACCTCCTAACCAGTGATAATGTAGGAATAACCATATATGTCTTAATTAGAATGTGTATGGCTTGGATGAGAACTTGGAGGTAATGATTTTTCCAATGCTTGTCTCACTTTCTCACACCTAGAGGTCAGAGGAACAGATGACATCTAAAATTAACCTGAAGTTACATTTAGTCTCCTTGAAACTAACTTTCAACTTTTCTTTACTGGTCAAATAAAAAGGAAATATTGGACTATCTTAAAATTAAGTCATCATAATAGTTGCCAAGGAAGTGAGCATTTACCTGCAAGATTCTCTGTCAATGCTCATAGACTGATAGACAGACATTATTTTGATTCATGATCATCCCTCAATTCCACAAACAATGTCACCTTGGATTTTACAGAGAATGTGATGGAATTGCTTTGACTAGTGAAGAATTCATTAGTCATCACGTGACGTATCAGTAAACTGGCTGGTTAATCCTCACATTCTATGAACTGGTGCAGATTGGCGTAACTGCAACAAAATTGGCTGCTACTGCAGCTGCAATATGCAAGTTATGTAATCAACGAAAAGGCCATACCTGAGTAAAAATGCACCATAATACCAGAGGACAAATTAAGATGAGAATGTCCTGCAAAGCTTTGTTAGCTTTATTTCTCTTTTAAAAATTGTTAGTCTGACAGAAGGATAAGGGTTCCATATCTAATAAAACATAATTAAATGTGCTTATAAAGCCATGGGACAAAACATGTTTTCTTATTAATAAGTGAAAAAAGTTTGATAACACAGTAATGCTTACACATAGTGAAGCAGATCCTTAGTTTTAGGACAGAATTCTTTAAATTTGTCACACATTGTTTGTCCATGTATGGTTGACTAGTTTTAAACACTAGAAAAAGTATAACACAGTGTGTTAAATGAAAACTATTTTCTATCCATCATAGCAACGTACTTCAATGTCAGCATAACATCCCAACTGCACAAGGACAGCTTTTCCACTTACCACATACTGTCACAGTGGTCCAGCAGAATTGGATAGCCAAGTTAGTTTTATTAGGTGTAGTTGTAAGATTTGAAGCAGCAGTGTACTTACACATGACTAGACAGTGACAGGGTTTTATCACATTTACTGGAACACTATTTCATGTACTCTCTTTCACTGGTATATTCCATAAATGATCCAGTCATATCTGCAAAGTCCTCCAGAACAAGGCTGGTGGAATCCTCACCAATTAGATCATTGCTGTCCGGCCCTGGTTTTTTAAAGGGAGACTCCTGAGGCCTAAATGAACTCTGAGGGACATGATGGGGACTCTCTGCAATCATCTCCTTCTCGGCTTCGACAGAAGGTGCTAATACATGGTAAAGACTAGGTAGACGGATGTCATAGCGGACCCCACCCCTGCAATACAGCTTGTCAATAAGGGAGTAAAGTTTGTCTGCGATGTCATTTCCAAGCATAACAGTGAAAAGGCGTGCAATATAATGATGTTTAGCCAAGAGCATATATAGCTTTCTTCTCTTCCATGTCACATAGCAACAGTCTGTTTCTGCTGTCAGGGTCACCTGCAAAACAGATTCAGTGAGACGCTCAGTAACAACACAATTATGAGAGAAACAAATTTTCAAAAGATACAATGCTCAGATTCAGAAAAATTAAAACAATTTTCTCGGCCATATGGCTCTTTATTTAAACAGAGGCAACAATTTGATTTTTGTAGCAATATGCTCACAAAATGATGGTTCTGCCAGGGAGTATTCCCAATTAATATGCAGAAAACCAGCAACAACATGAAAAAGGTTTCCCAATATGCTGCTCCATCTAGCAAAGCTCTCTATTGAGAAATTGCATTCATCAAAATTAGCCCTCTGTCCCCAGATCGGAAAGAGTCATTTGATCCCACACAGATTTTCTTACAGGAGATCAAATCAAGGGAAAATGTACTTCAAAGATTAACACCTTAAAATCAAGTTCATTGTATCTTTAGCAGGACATTAGTTTAGCTCAAGGGGTAAAGTATAAAAGTAGGGCAGTGTTGCTGCAACTGTAATAGGCATTAGTGAGACCGCATCTGGAGGATTGCACACAAATTTCATCTCCTGAATTAAGGAAGAATATAGTTGCATTGGAGGCAGTTCAGAGGAGGTTCAGTAGATTGATTCCAGAGATGAGGGATTGGTTTTATGAAGAGAGATTGAGCAGTTCAGGCTTATACTCTGGAATTTAGAAGAATGAGAGGAAATCTAATCGAGATTGACAAAGTGGATCTAGGGAGGATATTTGATTTTGTGGGGGAGTTGGAACTATAGTTCATAGTTTTAGGATAATGGGTAGCAGATTTAAAACAAGAGAGAGGTGTAATTACTACTCTCAGTCTGTGGAATTCACTACCCCGGAGTGTGGTGGATGCTGAGACATTGAGTAAATTTAAGGAGGTAATGGACAGATTTTAATTAGTAGAAGGGTTTACCTAATTGAAGGATAATGGAGAATGGGCAGTGAAATGGAGGTGAGGCTGAGATGCAATCAGCTATGATCGTATTGAATGCTGCAGCAGGCTTGAGGGACTGAATGGATTGCTCCTGCTCCTAGTTCTCATGCTCTTATGTTTAGTTGGATTATCAGAGTTAAAGTTGCTGCAGATTCGAGATACTTAAATTACTAAAGTTTAAATATTTTGGAGTCATTTGTATGTTAACTAATTCATGCCAATTAGCAAGAAAATTATTAAGGTTCTTGAGTAGACTTGTAGCTTGGGTTGTGGACGCTGGGGTTGGTTGGCTCGCCAAGCTAGTTCATTAGTTAGCAGATGTTTCATTATCCTGCTCGGTAACATCATCAGTGCAGCCTCCGATGAAGCGCTGTTGTGTTTTCCCAGCTGGTATTTAAACTCTGGGATCCATTGGAATTGGTTACCTCATTTCCGGTTTTTCTTTGCAATGGTGTACATATAGGGTCCATTTCTACGTGTTATTGCTGAACCAAGGAGCAAATTTGTAACTGTCTTTTACCTGTTTCTTCCCATCTCAACCAAGGCTGGGCTAACAGGGCTGCATGTACTCTCCATCACAGAATCGACTTGTAACTTAGTCTATTACTCTTAGTCAGATTGTAGTATTAGTGAACCTTGTAAGTAGATTGGAGAATATGGTGGACATCCTACAAGGTCTTCAGTACTATATATCTCAGCAAAGGAGTAATTGATAATTCCAGGGTATGCTAATCTACAAACAGCATGTATAAGGCTTTAAATTCATAGGATCTTATATCGGCTAAAGGGTTTGATTTTCATTGTGAACATAAATTATTATAGATAGAAGAAAGAATGTCCACATAATTTTGAAATCATTGATCAAATATTTCAGAGCAGAGCACAAAATTACCATATTTGCAATTATTCCAAGTTCTTTTGTTTAAAACTTTCATCAAAATTTAGTTAATAAATAGAATGTCTATCACTTCATTTATTAATTCATTAACACAATACTATCACAATTTCCACATAATAGTCCCTGCCAAAATGACAGCAGGGTTTTAACAAAATTCTATGATGGTGCCAGGGCATTATCAGTCTAGACTCCAGGTACCCCCACTATCAAAGAAGCTGAGTGCGATAACATGCTGGAAAAGTCAGAGGAATAATTTCTAATTAAAAAGATTCTGGCATCTGTCGGAAAGTTTCAAGTGCACCTAGACTTTTGAGGCCGCAGAACCCTCAAGAATGCAGAGGTGACCTGGAAAGGTTGCTCCCAAGGTCTCTCTGCCTTACCCGAGGTCATGCTGTAGGATCTGAGGATCTTTACCGATAGGAACAGGAAGATCAACGGCCTCCAGCAGGTGGAATAGACCAAGGGAGTCAGCAGCAGACACATGGTTCCCTCCAATCGGGAGGCAGTGAACCAATTGCATCTAGAACCTCCCTCCACAAATCAACAATAACTTACATTTCAATAGCATCTTTAGCATAGTAAACTGTTCCAAGGCATCTCACAGGAACATTAGAAAATAGAATATGGCACCAAATTATGTATTAGATCAGGTAAACAAAAACCTAGTCAAATGGTTGTTTTTTTAAAGAGTGTTTCAAAGAAGAAAGCACAGTGAAGAGGCATAGGGAAATAATTCTTGACCTTGGAGCTTAGGCAACAGAAGATGTAGCCACCAATGGTGGAACTAATAAAAACAGGAACATTCAGGATTTCCGAACTGGATGAGCACAAATGACATGTAGGGTTGTGTGGCTGGAGGAATACAGAAACTGGGGGCAGAGAGAGAAATGGAGGCATTTGAAAACCAGTTCTCATTCCTCATTCTTCTCTCACAAACTCTGCCTGAACAGCCAACACTCACACTCATCCTTATGCTATTGCCTTCTCATACCTATGCCACATGGTCACATTCCACACATATTGTCCTTTACTGATATCCGCACTCATAACTGACTGCTTTCTTTCACTGCAGATGAAGAGAGTGTGCACAGCCTTCGAGCCTTGGAGAGATAGAGACCTAGGGCCCTACAGTGACAGCTATGTTAGACTGGTATGGCATGCCCACTTGAGTCAATAGAAAGTAAGTGGTGTTCAAGGAGGCTGCAGGGTTTGGGGTCACAAGTAGCAAGTGACATTCATGCCCATCAATGGAAAAGTTGTCACTAATTTCAGGCCATGAAATAACAAGGTGTAGAGCTGGATGAACACAGCAGGCCAAGCAGC